CAACTATGTCTTCAGAGTTATCACTATTAAATATAAAACAAACAAGTCTTTTTTTTTTTTTTTTTTTTTTTTTTTTTGAGATGTAGTCTCTCTCTGTCACCCAGGCTGGGGTGCAGTGGTGCGATCTTGACTCACTGCAAGCTCCACCTCCTGGGTTCATGCCATTCTCCTGCCTCAGCCTCCCAAGTAACTGGGACTGCAGGCGCCCACCACCACGCCCAGCTAAATTTTTTTGTATTTTTAGTAGAGACAGGGTTCCACAGTGTTAGCCAGGATGGTCTTGATCTCCTGACCTCATGATCCACCCACCTCGGCCTCCCAAAGTGCTGGGATTACAGGTGTGAGTCACCGTGCCCCGCCAACAAACAAGTTTCTATTCTGCTTGAGTGCTTACAAGAAGCTAATATTATACTTACTAGATAATTAGAATCAAATCTATAAGCTTAAAGACTTTAAGTCGTCATTTTTATGAAAAACATTATTTCCTTTTTTTTATGGTGAAAAGATATACATCTATTTAGAATCAGCCAGCGGGACTCAGTTTAGATGATCCCAAGTTTGTTGGCAACATCCAAAGCATCGTAATCAGGAGCCATTCGAACATATGCCTTCTTCTCTCCATCAGGCTGAATCAGGATGTTGACCGTGGCCACATCCATGTCCCAGAGCTTCTTCACAGTCTGTTTGATCTGGTGCTTGTTGGCTTTAACATCGACAGTGAACACAAGCGTGTTGTTGTCTTCTATCTTCTTCATGGCTGACTCAATGGTCAGTGGAAACTTGATGATAGCATGGTGGTCAAACTTGTTTCTCCGGGGGGCGCTCTTCCCAGGGTATCTGGGCTGCCTCCGCAGTCGCAGTGTCTTTGGATGCTGGAAGGTGGGTGACATGCAGATCTTCTTTTTTGGGGGTCTGTGGACACATTTCAACACTGCCTTCTTGGTTTTTAAAGCCTTTGCTTTGGCTTTGGCTTTAGGAGGGGCAGGAGCTTCCTTCTTCGCTTTGGTGCCATGTTGTGAAAAGCGAAATACATTATTTCAATAATAAGTTTTTTACAGTAAATCTGCCTAATAGTAGTTTCCAAAATACTTTTGGTAATTTTTAACCTTAAAGTTAAGCTAGGTAAAATATTTCCATTAAATATCTATATCATTTATAAATAAGATACAATACTAAAACATTAATTACTGGACATAAGTAATTCAAGTTTATATACTTTTGGCTTCTTATTTTTACAGAGAAACTAGATATTTTGGCCTGTTAATAAACATGTTTTTGCCTATCACACTGTACTACGTACTATGAGAAACAACAACACTGTACTGTGTACTATGAGAAACAACGACACTGTACTGTGTACTATGAGAAACATATGTACTATGAGAAAGTACCACACTGTACTATGTACTATGAGAAAGTACCACACTGTACTGTGTACTATGAGAAACAATGACACTGTACTGTGTACTATGAGAAAGTACTACACTGTACTATGTACTATGAGAAAGTACCACACTGTACTATGTACTATGAGAAAGTACCACACTGTACTGTGTACTATGAGAAACAACGACACTGTACTGTGTACTATGAGAAAGTACCACACTGTACTATGTACTATGAGAAAGTACCACACTGTACTATGTACTATGAGAAAGTACCACACTGTACTGTGTACTATGAGAAAGTACCACACTGTACTGTGTACTATGAGAAAGTACCACACTGTACTGTGTACTATGAGAAACATAGATTCTTGCAATGTACTATGAGAAAGTACCACACTGTACTGTGTACTATGAGAAACATAGATTCTTGCAGAAATGCCAAGGGTGTCTTTTTCACAGAGACTGGAAAGTGCATCCCTCCAGGACAGCCTTGGTGCTTCTCAGAAGGCCCTGATTTTGTATTACATCATTTGTCTTTGACCACAGAAGGGCCGTTCAGCAACTCTGCATCTGTCTGCCTGCCTGTTTATCCGAGGAGAGCTATGGGAATACACACACGGGAGTTCTTCCAAACCTGGGGAGAGAAGCTTGGTGAACAGAGGGAAGAATGTGCAGCCACGGTTTTAACCACAGATGTTTTACAGGTAGTTACTCTCTCGACACATTTCAAAAATAAGTTCCACACATCTCTGCCAGAAAGCAAAAAGACTGACCACCAGTCAATGTTTTATTTTCCCTGATGACTGCAGGGCGTGAACTTATGGAACAAAAAGGTAATTAGGCTCTTGGACCCAGGCAAGTATCTCCATGGCACCTGCCCTCATTTGTTGAGCATTTTGGTTTCTCAGACCTGCTGCTCAGTTTCCACTCTCTTCCTCCCTGCCAATGCCACCAGCGTGCCTCTCCTTCCAGCACCAACTGCCTTCCACCTTCCATTCTCTAGTCTTTAGCCACAATCTGCCTGGACTTTTCAGAACGGACTGCAAAGGAGAATAAACTAGCTGAGTCTGAGGGTGACTCACGTGCAAAGCTGCAAGCTTTGCTGTACCCGTCTTGGCAGCTTTGGGCTCCATAGAGTTCCTTCTCATTTGGGGATCTGATGAGGTCGGCTCGCTGTCTGTCAGTGCTGGTGGCATCTGGTAGCACCTTGTCACGTGCACATAGTTAAGCACCGTGGCTGCACCTGATGCTTAGCCAAATGGGGAGCCTGCATTTCTGTGTGTCAGGTGATACATAACCTCCGGAGGTTAATGAACATGAGGGAAAGATAATATCTGGGCCTGTCCACATATTGCATCTGAGTCAGTGAAGGAAATGAATGTGGGGTCTGTTTGCTGAGACTGGACACCTCCATAATCTCATGCTCCATGAAAGGCAGGCAGGAGGTCTCGCTTTCTACCTCTGGGATGTGCAGAATAAGACTAGCCCACACAACTGACCCTTTATTTGGGAAAGAGAAATGAAATCAGATGCAGCAATTTAATATCCACTAAGATGATATCTTAATCACAAACACTCTTCTGTTTTTCAGAAATGTGAATGTTATTTATACTAGGTTAAAAAACCCGAATATCCAACAGCATGACACCGACTAAAGAAACACTCTGGAACCTTGCAGACCACTCATTGGCATGGGAACAATGGGAACGTGCCTATGCAAAGATGTGTGTAGAAATTAGAAGAATGCAACACTGTAGGACAGATGTGACTAGACCACAAAGGACCGCGTCTGCCGCTGCACCCCGTGACGGACCGTTGTGGAACAAGTTAGAACACACAAGACTGCGTCTGCCTCTACACCCCGTGACGGACCGTTGTGGAACAAGCCCGGGGGATTCTGGTGAGGGCAGCAGTGGCGTCACTTAGGGACTAGGCTTCCGTGGGAATCCCCATCTCCTTCCAACCTAGATACACTTCATGGGAAAGGTGAGCAGGTGAAGGTCATGTAGGAGACGGAAGAACTCTCTCCCCAAGCCCGTAGGCCTTTGTCCTCCACCCATGGACAGAAGTATCTTGTTAGATGAGGGCTGCCCACAACCAGGGCTGCAGGAGAACCTGCCACGGAGTGAGTGTCAGTAAAGAACCGCTGGCTGTCACCATCCCTACTTGGGGGCCGCTGGGAGATCTGACGTGTCTCACTGCCCTTCGTAAAGTCATTGTTGGAAAAGTCAGTCCTCCAACAAGGCGTAGTTTGGTTAGTTACAGCATTTGACGTTTGTATTTTAAAAGGCAGCATTGGAGAGTGTCTTTATAAAGGATGTACAAAACCTGTCACACTCTGCCACACAGATGGACTCATGTGCAATGTAGCCATTTAATGAAACACTGGCATTTACCAGATGCAAACTTACTAGAGATGACAACTAGAAATGATGTGCTGGATGCACTGGTTTACTTATATGAATATAACCATCTATCTGTATGCATCAAAAGATACACAACATGAGATGCCGATCTATTTCTACTAGTTCATGATCAGGAGGTCAGGACAGGGAAGGAAGAGGAAACACTTTGACTCATGGTCCTTTATTCTTAGATGCCGTCATCCTGCATATGCAAGGGACATGCATGGCTGAAATAATGGAAACAAAGTGGATAAAAGTGAAAGTAACTTAAACTGATTCACCCAGGAATGCCCAATTCAGGTGCTGCAGAGAAGAGCATGAGACCGGGTGTCTTCAGGACAGGTACACATCTAGGAGTGGAGTGGGCATTCTTCAGCAGGGAGGAGCAAGGCCTGGGTCTGGGGACACTGGAGCTGCTGTCCCAGAGGCCGGCAGTGCAGCCCTGAACCCCCAAGACTTCACTGAGACTCCCCTCAGCCACCTAAACTGGAATAAACCGATGTAGCCAGACTCCTCAAACACCGTACAGGGTCTCCAGGTCCTCAAGGGCCCCCAACAAGCCACAGTTCCCTCAGGTCCTGGTGAAGGAGCTGGTGCTGCCTCCTGCCTTTCCCCGCATGGGATCCTGCAGCTCATCCCCCACAGTCTCAGATTACCTCTGCAGAACCTGCCGACAGATGTCTTCTGAGGCCGGCAACACTGGGACGCCTGTGGCCCGGGACCCAGGAGGAACCGGCTGAGAGGCTGTGTGAAGGCATCGCTGATGCCTCCCCAGAGTGAAAATGCCCACTTCTGTTCTGCCCCCGAGAACAACGGTCAAGCCAGCTTGAGTTTCCGCTCGGAACTTTCCGTTCCTCCCCATGTTTGTCGCTGTTTTAATGGACATTGCCTGGCTATTAAATCTCCTGATGAACTCACTTTGAAAATTATCTATTGCACTGGGCACCCTTTCAGGAATCACTGACTGTTAATTTCCTCAGTCTGAGTGATAATCTACGAGTCAAGCAAGGACAGATCTGAGGCCAGAGGCTGCTCCTGTTGGGAAATCCCTGAGGATGATGCTCCGGGGAGGCCTCCAGCCTTGGGAGTCCCCTGGAACTGAGCCAGGCCAGCTGGTGCCAGACACTGACTGGGGGGGACCTGCGGGCCTCAGGGCAGACTGCTCTGTCCCTGCACCTGGCCTACCAGGTATCCCTGTGTGGTCATACCAAGCCCTGTGCTCAGAAGGGCCCCAGAATAGTTTAACGTTCTGCTGCTGCTGCCTGGAAGATCATGATGTTGAGCAACCTTTCCACTCGGCCCCACACATTACGTGGCCTGCCCAGCTGTCAGGCTGGGGCCATGGTGCCAGTGTCTCTCACCCAGTGAAGGCTGCTGCAGTCCTGGCTGACTTGTTTTGACTATTTCGTGAGGCCCACACCTGAGCTAAACACTCACGTGCCACCCACGCTGACTCCCCCCACTCTACAGCACGAACCTGCCCCTTCAGCTGGGGGAGGGTCTCCATGTCATAGGGTTTTGAGAGAGAAGATCAAGGAAGCCTGGGTTCTAGTTCTTCAGTCATCCAGAGTGAGGGTCCCTCTGTCCATTCTCCTGCAGGCAGGGTGGACACTGTGGCTGGAGGAAGGCTCCTGATCCACTGCTTTGGGGAGAATCTCTGATTTAGACTCCACAGGGAACCCAACAGAGATCCAAAGCCAGTACTGATTCAGAGAAAGAACATTTCTGCTAAGCTTAGTGCCTCAGGGAGGACAGATAATTACCTAAAGTTGACAGAACAATCAATTTTCTGAGTCTGAAGTTTACAAACAAAATCCCTCTCCTTTGAAGGCAGATTAGCGTGGAAACACCTTCTGCATTGCCCGCGTCAATGGTCTGTCTCTGCAATCAATCTCTCTACTCTTTAAAACAGAATTAGAATAATTTGCATAATTGTTTCTTGTCTCAGAGAAATCTTACGGGGAGGCTGTCTTCAGATAACCAGCAGCCTGGGCTCCAGGCTGGATTGTTTCGCAGGCAGCCTTGCAGCGAGGCTCCAGGCTCTAGAGCCAAAGGCCTTAGGTCAGAGGCTCCACCTGGGACTCCTGGGCCCTCCCTGCCAGGGTCGCAGTGGGAGCCACATCCATGAAAGCCTCTGGTTTAGGGACCTCAGAATTCCCCCCTCTGATAAGTTAATGAAACGAGCCGTTGGTAAAACTCTGTGAACAAACTGGTCTACAGTGGCTAAAACTGGAGTGAGAAAACTAATGTGATAACCCCCAAAACCAGCTACCCTGGGAAGTTTCAGGGCGCTGCTGCACTCCTGGCTCCTCCCCCGCCTACTGCAGCTGCCCAGGTGAGGAAATGGAACTTTGAGAGCTGGTGCTGAGACTCTGTGCCTGGAGACACACACTGGACGGGGACCCTCAACTTTCCTGTCCTTTTTGCCAGAGTTGGAAACATGCTGGGGAACAGCAGACAAGCAGAGGATTGTCTGTCTCAGATGCAGGAGCCC